TCCTTGTTTGGGATTGTTAACCTGGGCCAATCAGGAAGCCCTTGCTGTCCAATATAATCAGGGGATTACCTGATTTTTTTTTACTGTGTCTCATGCCTGCACACGCACAACAAAAAAAAACAAATATACCAAAAAACCAATAAAAAAAACAAAAAAAAAACCAGGAGATTAGAAGTTCCTCAAAAAAAATATAACCAGGAGATTCAGCATCTCCTCAGCCCAGGGGATTGACTCCAAGCTGGCTGGCCACAGCCAGCGTTCCTGTTCAGAGAGAAGGAGAAAAAAAATAATAAATATATATATAACCAGGGGATTTAGAATCTCCTCAGTCCAGGCGACTGACTCTGAGCTGGCTGGCGACATAAATAAAGGGTGACTTGGTGACAGGATACCGACCTCTGTGCAGCCAGAAGGGTTATAGGAAGCCAGCAGAAATGTGGAGTTGAAGTCCAGAATCCGCCTTCACCATATTGAATGATGAGCAGTCTCAGCAGGCTGTGTGACATTCTCTTCTTTATATTCCTTGTGTTGCTTTGTTCATAAATTGGCTGGAGACTGAAAGGGTCTTGAAGCACGATCAGGAATGAGATCGTTACTAAGACATTAACGTGTGCGTCATCTTGTCCTAATCTGTCACGTTCTTTCTCAGGACTGTCTTTGCTAGCTTGTTTCATGTGGAAAGAGCAAAAAAATATGAACAGGCATGCAGCATGCATTTCGCTCTTTCAGCAGAAGCTAAACAACAACGGCAGCTAAGTTGTTGCTTGATTCATTAAATTCTGAAGCACCATGGCCACGAACAACATTAAACAGTTCATTATGTCTAGATGCTGTACAAATCCCGAAATCGTATCTGTAAAAGGATAGCAAAATCTTAGTGATTTGAGATTAAAACAAACCTTAATACTCTCTCTCTCTTTGATATATATGTGTATGTGTATGTGTAGGTGTGCGTGTGTGTGTGTGTGTATATACCTCAGGTATCTTACTCACCAGTTTCTCTTTCTTTGACTACAACACTTCTGGTTTGTGTATATGACAGGTTGTCACAGTACCTATGATTAGCTGAGGAAGCAGCTGAAAGGTAAAGGACCCACAAAACATTCAGCCTGTACATGATTTACAATTCAATCAGCCTCCCTATTTGCACAATCTGCACATTGTTTATTTCTGCTGCCTATTCATATCGAGAAATTTACTTTTAAACTTCCCCTCAACCCCCACTCCACAACCATCCTCAAGGTTTCACCTAGACACTGTGCAGAAACAATCAGCTGTCACTCAGCCAGAGATTAATATCTGAGATCACATACTTATAGGAAAAATTCCAAGGGTCAGTGCACCATTTCTTTAGTGCATTTTTTTTTCGTACTGTGACAATCATTTGGAGGGAGGCAAGGGCACAATTTTTTTTTAATTAATGCTTTGCGGTGTTTGAATGCAAAGATTATTGTGTAGATTTCTGTGGGTGAAGTATCACCTGGATGAAATGCAGAGAGCAAAATGAAGTGCATAGGATACAGATCCATAAGAGACTCTGTGAGATTCTCGATTAAAACAGCATAGTCCAGCAGAAATACCTATGGCTACGGTAATGCTTTTTTTAGCTGCGTGCACTGATTTTAGTTAAAAACACCTTACATGTGCCTTAGATAAATGTATTTAATATTTTCACATTTACTTAACATACAGCTATCACTTGCAGTGATGAAGCATAGATCTGGAGGTGCCGGTGTTGGACTAGAGTAGACAAAGTCAGAAGTCACGTTCAACAGGTTAATTTGGAATTGCACAAGCTTTCAAAGTGCAGCCCCTTCGTCAGGTGCAGTGAGAGAGCAGGACGCACAGACACAAAGTTTATAAGCTGAGAGATCAAGGGCAGAGAGATCAAACAATCATACAACCAGTGTGCATGGAGTGTCAGAAAATAAATCTCTGACACCTTTGGTCACCTGCAGATGGTGTGTAAAGTGTTTATAAAGTCAAAGTCAGTGCTGTGCTGTCATGAAAATCAGGCAGGGCCATAGGAATATACAAACGGTGACATCTCAGGTCAGACATTGAATTTTAGGTGTGAGGCTTTGTTCAGAATCTGTCTCAGAGTTTTAACCTGGAATCAGGATGGTTTTATTCCAAAAGCTGGAATTTATAAGATGCCACACTGACTGACTGTGACTACAAATTGTGTTTTTTGAACAAAATAGAATGTATCTGCAAATAAACAGATATCTTGGATGAAATGATTTACCCCATAGATTTGTGTGTGTGTATGTGTGTTTGAGAGAGTTGGTCACCAGCAGAGACTTATTATCTGACAGTCCACGCACACCAATTGAATGATCTTTCGATCTCTCTGTTCCTGATCTCTCTGCCTATAAAACTCTGTGTCCGTGTGCCCAGTGATGGAGCAAGCAGCTCACCTGCGATGAATAAAAAACACACACACTCTACTTTTTGATTTACCATTTTTCCAACATATGCACAAACAGTGAAAGTACATTTAAACATTCAGTAAAAGTGTTAGTGGTGAAATTACATGCCCAATAACACATTTATTACTCATTTCTATTTATTAATCAGAAATGCTATTAACCACATTTGGGTTCCCAATTAACCAAAGGAGTAGTTAGTGTCAAACATGAAAAACATTGACTTAAAAGAATTGACTAGCTTCATTCCAGTTATGTTCATTCACCCAGACTTGGTTTTCTTCTCTAATCCTCACCCTGGCGAAGATAGCAAAAATGTCTACCAATTTCTTTTTACTTTGTTTTTGTAACCATTGCAATATACAATATTCCTAATAATTTCATTTTGTATTATAGAAAGATAGTTACATTTTCTTCTTTGACTTCTCATTCAGTTCTGTTTACCTAGGAATCTCTATCAAGTACGTGTGAAAAGGTGAACCTGAGCAGTCACTATTTTCTTTTAATTCATTCACAGGACATAGGCATCACTGGTTAGTGCAGGATTTATTGCCCATCCTTAATTTTACACAGAGTACTTGACAGTCAATGACATTGTTGTGGGTCTAGAATCACATTTAGGCCAGACCAGGTGAGGACAATTTCCTTCCTTAAAGAACATCAATGAACAAGATGGGCTTTAAAACCCGTCAGAAATTGGATTCATTGGATCCCTTATGCTATCCCAGGGACTGTCACAGTTGAGCCCACTTCTACCCTAATTCAAAATGTACATCACCAGTATGGATCATGAAGCCAGTGACACTTAACTCATTTATTGCGCTCCTGTCTTCATTCAAATCATCCAGCTGAGATCACCTAACTCAGCAGATAGGGCCTGAATCTTTCTTGATCAGTGCAGCCAACTTATTCACTGGTTTAATCAACTGAACATTTGTTGAATGCAGAATGTTTCCGTTTCATTACTTTATGTTTTAAACCTGTTTATTAAATAACCTTCAAATCTGAAACTTGAATTTAATTATGATGCACTGAAAAGACTAATATGATCAACCTGATCACTCTCATATGCTTCATTTTGACAGTCAGTTTTCTGGATTTTCCTGGAATTTTCATCTATATCAGCAATGTTTCTACCGCTGGAGCAAATCCTGATTATTTTCATTGGTAGCAAATCAGGTTGCAAATTGAATGGGCAAGGAACATTGCTTCATTTAAAGACCCATCAAGCAAGAATTGATTTCAACCTCATGTGTTTGCATTTTGGTGGTTTACCATTGCTTTTGACTTTCCTATCTATCTTCCAAGCTATTTGAAAATGTCAAAATTGAAATAACATAAAGTTACGAAGTTAAATGAAGTAAGTTGGAAACAAAATGAACTTAAATATGAACTGACACCACAGTACCAATTTATTGGGCTGCTCCCATCACTTTAGGCTCTACAATGTCCTCCCCAATTACATTTTCCTCAGCCATATATTATCTGTAGACAATGCAGTTATTAATACTGCAGGAATGAGCAAGGAATTATTTTAAGCTGTTGCACATGCAAAATACACACACATAATCTTAAGAGCACTCTATTCCACATTAATATGATTGGAAAGGGACCTCTTTACTGTTTTAACGAGCTTGTGATAAGATCTTTTTTCATAAAATGTACTGAAATTGTACTTCATGAAGCAAATGTATTAATTTTCAGAATAGATTGAAGTATGGTTGAGAGGTATGTCGCATTAGGAAACGGACTATTCAACCAGTAGAAGTTGAACACTATCTCCTTTCCACCCCTCCACCCCTACTCCTTTACTCCATCCCACTCGAGTAATAACACATTCCTATATAGTAACACATATAGTAACACAATAAATAAGTTGATCAAAGTGTTAATCAACTGAGATAAGTGGATATAAAAGGTAGGCAGTATCAATTCAAAGCCGTAACCTTCTGGATTAAAGGAATGCACCATATAACTTCTAATATTTCCCACGTGACATGGACCATTTTAAAGATGCTATAACTGGCATATCAATGCATTGGGAAAATCTAATTATATCTCAAAACATTTCTGCAAATATCTTAATTTTCAAATAATTTGCATTGAAGACTTTTTTGTTTCTGCTTTTGACAGTTCTCCAAGCAGCTGTGAACCTCTTCACTGTATGTGGTCATGTTTAAATTAAATGTCAAAACAATCTTTTTTGGTAGGAAGAATATTTCACATATATCTGATTTACTACGGATATGGAATTGTAATGGAGTTACAGCTTGTTTCTAACAAATACCAAAATTTGAACCTTTGTAAAAGTTTAATAAAAACAACTGTTGGAAGACACTTGGGTAATGTACTTAATAGAGGTACTGTGTTCAATTCAGATTCTCCTTATGTTTTGCATCTGGGTGCATCCAATTCAGGGCTCAGTGATAACTCATCCTATTTTCCGTTTTGACTTAGGCAGGAAAGGACAATGTGTTTGTTCTCCCTTGCTGTGGCCTGAAATTAAAATTAAGTTCTCAAGGGAAATACAAACTGCTATTTACTCACAAGTTATTTCTCATTGGTTTGCAGGTTTCCTGACACATGCAAAGGAGAAATCTTTGCCTGGGCAGCTTATCCTGTGTGTGCCACTTATCTTAAAAAAAAATGATTTCGCTGCTGTGAGTCTCCATCTGTTGTCTGTCACTCTGTACGTTCATGCTACATTGTGGGATCAATATTTTCTCCAGCATGAGACTAAGCCTGACCTGCCCAGCTGTTAAGTACACAAGCCCTGCAGGAACTGAGGTAACTTCTCCCTTTATAGACCAATGCTGTCCAGTGACTATATCTGGTGAAAGCCGTCTTGCAGATAGTCCAATTATTTCCACTTTGGGTCCCTTCATAAAAACTGAATCTTTTTCAAGGCAAACATCAACGAAAATGTGAACTATTAGTTTAATGAACAAGAAAAGGCATCAGTATAATGAGAATTCATCAGCTTTTTCCTCCGAGACTTCTACCTAATGACCAAAGAATGAAAGACCTGTGCAGCTGATGAAAGAAATTGTACTGTTTGAGACCCCTTCAATAATTATAATCACATGGAGTTATCAATGAAAAATCTGCCACACCTCTGGAGGAAAGGAAAATGTCCTTCATATCATGGAGATACAATTATAATGGTATAGCCAATATTTCATTCTTTATGGCAATGTTGAAGCTGGGAATTGGAATGGCTTAATTAACTTAAAGAACTAAATAGCACATGAACATAAAACAGTGATGGCAGAATTGCACTGGCATAAGAGGACCTCTCGCGTTCTGAGGCATGTGCTCATGCATTTTTGTAACATCGTGTGGGTTTTGTGCTCTAACTTGTCCTATCATACTACTGCAGAGCATTCGGTATGCTCTAATCTGTTTGTTCAGGCCTGTGATCTATTTGACACATTGCAGAATCCAATAACTTGAGCATACTTCAACAATGGCATTTCTCAGTTCTGACAGTGGCATTCTAAACATGTTACCATTCAGTGTGTTTAGAGAAAGAATCTTAATTTGTAAACCTTTAACAGATTTTGTATGTTGTATCTTTGTAGGAAACCTATTTAACTGTGTACGTGCTCATCATGTAAGACCTGCAATGCCATGATGGAAAGCTGTGATGTGAATAAAGTACATCTCACGCTGCCAAATAAAGCTGTTACTTTACTGAAGAAATATCAAGCAGAGGAATTATTGCCTCTTTGTCAAATGAAAGCTGCCAAAGAATGAGCTCTTGCCATAAAAATGAATGTCCATATGTTTTCCTCTGATTATGCTCATTCAAGTGAAAAATGAAAGTGTTGGTATAAAAGAGATAAGAAAGATTTTCCACCTCATGCCCAAAAGTGCATCATTTCATGAGAATAAGCAATTATTTAATGCAATCTTTACATTCTACGAAAATGACTTACACTATAATTACCAACATACTCCATGCCTCAATGTTTAATGCATAAATATATCAAATTCATAACTTCCTCTAACTTGTGTATAAGAAACTCAAAAGTCAACATTCTTGAGAAATCGTTGACCAAATGTAGAAGTTTTAATTTTCATCCTCCTCACATTTTCATTTTAGATTCATTAACATAAATAATTCAAAATATAACATTTCGCCACTGAATCCCAACAAAGACTTCCTTGTAAAATAGTGAAAAGAATCAAGCTACATACTAGCACTCAATATTAAAACAAATGACAGTTTTGCCAGAACAAATCATTGAGGTAATTGTGCAGGATGTTTTTATATATTAATATCAAACATTTTTAATTTAATTTCTTCTATCAAGCTATGTACAAGACAAAATCATTCCTGTGTTGCTGAGATAAGTGGAGCTAGATGTAGAGGTGAGGTAAATGTTATCTGTGAAGGACAGTAAACCAAGGTCAAATGATAGAGATGTAAAGATGGATGAATATTCTGTATATCTTTGTTTGATTGCTTTTGGGCAATGTTTACAATGAACATTTCCTTTCCTGCAGGTGATTAATTGAGTACAGTAGAGTTCATTCCGAGAAAGATTAAACATGGCCAGTGGAAGAAGCAGGTTTGATCAAATGAGTGATTGGCTCTCATGTCTTCTTATACTCCTTAAGCTAGGTAAAGATTACACATGGTGCTGGATCCATGTTTTAAATCACTTGTAGAAACAAAATCAATTGTATGTATAAAATCAAAAGCCCTGATGTTAATCAAAGGCAGATTTTGAGCAACAAGGTAAATTTGTACAAAAGAAACCTCAAATCAACCAAGTTATCTGAAATATGTCCACTTTACCAATTAGCTTTGAGTTCTGAATTTTGTGTCACCAAACTGTGCAGCAGCCGTCCACCTGTATGATATATCCCAAGTATGTTTAAAAGGGCAGTGCACAAACTAAAATTTTGGTGAAAGATGGCCATGAGCAGCCAATGTCTCACTGGAATTATGACTGGTCAAAGGCAGGAGGGAAAAGAGCAAATGACAAACTTTTCCCCAGAAATTCGACTATAATGTCTACCCCTCTCACCAAGGTTTGATTGAAGATAGCTGAGGAAATGAGCACCATGAACACACCAGTGTGCCCAGATTGTAGACATAATGTGGGAACCAATTTAACATCCTAACCAGATCAGGAAAGGTGAGTACATTTGCTGATGCAACCTTAGCTGTGATGCAACTCGGTCTCCTCCTGTGCCTCTCATTGCGTCCTGTTAAATGTTCGTCATCATAATACTCTATATAAACGGTCAACTTTCAGCAGCATCGCTTTCTGCATTCTTCATCACTTTCCCATTTAGCCATCCACCATTTTAATGATTTTCTGATTCAATCTGAATATGTAATGCATGTGTGTCACAGCCATCTTCACTAAGTTCACTACAGCCCACCACTCGGGACTCTTCCTTCATCCTTTGTAGGGGAACAGTACCAAGCTGAGGAGTGGTGGTGGCATAGTAAAAATGTCACTGGAGTATTAACTCCAGCGAGGAAGGCTAATGCTCTGGAGCATGAGCTCAAATCCCACCATGATATGTGAATTGTGAAAGTAATGAATAAAATCTGGAATATAAAGCTAGTTTCATTATTGATAACCATGACAGATATCATCGATTCTTGTTCATACTCCATTTGGTGCTCTATGTTGGAAATCCAACCATAAAGAAGAACTCCAGTGTTTGCTTATCCTGGCTATTGGAGGGGAGATTGACATGACTGTCAGCACTGACAAACAAACCATCAGTGGCCTACTTTGTGGGTAAATGTGCAGCCAGTTGGGAGATCCTGGCTAAGTCATTGGCAATGCCCTGAAAAGACCCACAGGCAGAATCGGTCGATGGTGCTGATCACCTTTACAGCTGATTGTAACATATGCTCAATAGTGATTGAACAGCTATCCTTTCAGGAGATTGTGGATGTCTGCTACACTTGACATGACAACTTCGTCCTGCAGAAATACTTCTGTTCTCCAAGCTCAAGGCAGCTGAGTCCATCTGCAAATCCACTGATGTGGACAGTGCTTCCTGCAAACTCCTCATCCTTTTCCTGTGCACCCTTCTCAATTGCTGTAAAGATCCCAACACAACACATCACTGTGTAGAGAAGAATGAAACTACCTCTTCTCTTGAGCTATCACACATGGGTCATTTCCTATCCTGAGCTTATCAATTTGAAATCTTCAAAAAGATGGAGGAAAACTGCATCGCAACACACCCTTTACCAGAAAGAACTAAAACAGCATCTTCAATAGCTAAGCTTTTCTTCAGATGGGGCAACTGAGCTAACGCTCAAACTCATTGATCCATTTTTGGAGCTGCCAAAGTAAAATTTGGATGCAAGGTCAAAATAATTGGAATATATCTTGATATGTTTGTCAAAGGATAGTAACTTCACTAATGAATGTTCCCCTACATTCAATTATGAAATTGAATTTCTGCTTCATGGTTTTTGTGTTATGATGTTCATACATATTGGTCAGGACCCAAAGCTGGTTCTTGAAGTTGGGTCAGACAATATAAATTCTATATCTGAAAATCAAAAGAAGAAGCTGTCTTCTGGCTAATTTGTTTCTTTTGTTGTGCATTTATTACTATGACGTCTCTTACAACAATTTAGGTGTGGGGTTCAAGGTTGGGTAGCCAGGCTGAGCATCAAATTCAAATTCTGAGGCCCAGTATGGTAATACCTCCTGAACCACGGTTCATCTATAGAAGTGGACTTCCGCATAAACCTGATCAATATGACTGGCTGACAACAATGTAACTTCTGACAGCAGGTTCTTGATATTGTTGTGGACCTGCAGGAATTTTTCCAATCAGGTTCGTCTGATCAGGAAGATGTGATGTTTTTAGTTCTGCAGTTCTTTGCGGAAGCCGTAGCTTTTTACAATTTGCATCATTGATTCAGTTAAGGGGAACAAAAACATGCCAGTTACATTTGTGATGACTAGGTCTGCAAAACTGAAAAGGTATGGAGTTATTTAAATCTTCAGTTCTTTAAAAATTTATAAAAGGCTCTCTGTGTCAGTAGGTGTTGCAAAAATCTGGTCTAATTCAATCAACTGTTTATTGCCATTACCCCCATGGATTATCATTATGCTACCACTAATGTTTCTCTGTTCTATTTTTTTCTCAATAGTTCATAAATTCACAACTTTGTTCATAAATTCACAAGATTGACAACTTAAAAAAACTATTAAAGGATTATCTTCCTTTGTGGGATTATGAGTACAAATTTGTTTTTATAAAATGTTAAGCTCTTGAAGGGAACGAAATGTTTTGAATGGGTTTCTGTGAGTGTTTTATGTAATTATATTGAAGGTTATCATCAATATTTAGAATTTGTTTTTATTTTATCTTAACATGGCTTCTGTAGTCTGCCTAAGATGGATACTTGCTGATTTGACATTGAGTATGGAAGGGAAAAGGGTGATTGGGTTGGCAAGCATTGGCATTAGATTAGCATGGGGGCTATAAGGGCCCATGGGCAGGGCAGGGTAATAAAATTGAAGGGAAGGTTTGAAGAGCCATTCAAGGTGGATAGGGGGTGCACGTGGGCATGAATAGAACATGGAGGGTAAAGGTTGTGATGCATTAGGGCTGGAAATCCAAATCTTTTTTGAAGTAGCTGAAACCACATCCCAGAGCAGCAAAGCGGCCCTTTTAATAAGCTGTCCATGCAATTGACAGGCAGAATGAGGTGGGAAATTTCCTGACTCCTGCCAACTAATTGGTGAATGAAAATTTGAATAACCGTAACTTATTGTCTCCATAAATGTCAAAGCTGACAGATTCTTGCCTCCTTTCAACTTCCCTTCCTCCAAACAATTTTTAAAAGTCAGCAGGGACCTTTCAACCCTTTGTTTAAAATATGTCACTTTGTTTGATATGGTAAAAATAAAATGCTTTGTGTCATTTAGAATTTCAATAAATTTTAATTACCAGCACAATAAGTTTCTGGACACAAGCAACAATCTATCACCAAACCAGCCACCATTTTCCATGTCTCCCCTCCTTTCGGTATTGCACAGGAAACAAGGAAGATGCTACCTCTGGTTAGACTAGGGTTGACAAAACACTAAGATATTCTGGAAACTAAAGCAGCTAAAGTCAAATTTCCAGGACACTGCTGCAAGCAAGCTAGGAGAAAATAAATTGTGGAAAATAATATTCTTTCGTGACCTCAGCATTTTCATTATAAAAATATTAGATATAGGGGATAAAAGACAATTGACTGCAAGTTAAAATCACCCAATTGGACAAATAAGCAGTCATTCACTTTACAAAGTTGGCACACCATGATGATGGATGTGTCAAGTAACTGATAGTGGGTCAAGGATGAGAATAGTTGGAGGAAGGAAGTCAGATCATGAAATCTCCAGGAATATGTGGAAGCAAACTTTACAAGCTCTGGTTTAGACTGTAGTTGTCAGTATGCCTTTTAAATCCAGTAATGAAGGCGTTTATTGTAGTGATTACTTGTGCGACCTCTGATACATTAACCTATTGAGATGGGATCTTTCCTCCAGTTATGGGATTGCAAGTTTACTGGTCCATTTTGACATGAGTGAAGAAAAATGTGGCCGGTTCAAAAGAAATAGCTGTTGCATTTTAGCAAAAAGAGTATTCTGTGAAAGCCTT